ACTCTCCTTCTAAAAGCAGCCAGGGATGATTTCCACAATCAGGTGGTGTGGCACTCCCTCAGCACTGAGCCTCCAACAGCGTGGTGCTCCCTCAGCGCTGAGCCTCTGACAGCGCGGCGCTTCCTCAGCGCCAAGCCTCCGACAGTGTGGGATTCTGTTGGAGTGTTGTGTTTGATCTTTGCACTAATGTGAGGAAGGCAACAGTCACAGGGCGTGGTGCTATTAGAAAGACATGCAGTTGCAGAGCAAGCGACATCGAGCAAGAGAGGAACAGATCACGAGAGACACAACCTGCATGAGACAGAGAGAGAGAGAGAGAGAGACAAACTGAGCAAGTATGACACAAAGTTCGAGAGCAAGAAACAGAGGGAGAGAAATAGTGCAGGAGGGAAAGGTAGTTCACTGGGTCAATTTTTTAGATGAAAAGGGAGAACAGTGAAAGAGTCTGCAGGTCAGGCAGCATCAGCAGGGAGAAAGAAACAGAGTTCACAATTCATTGTCAATCGATGGCCTTTCCTCAGAACCTTCCACAGAAGTAAACCAAAAATGTCAACGCTGTCCCTTTCTCTCTAGATACTGCCTGACCTGCTGAGCATTCCCAGCGTTTTATTACTCCTGATCAGTGCAGAGATCTGTAAAGCCAGGATGCTAGATTTCAATCAAACAGTTCACATCATGGGGGGTGGGGGGCGGGGGGCAGGGGGCGGGGGGGGGGGGGGGGGTGTGGGGGGGGTGGCGGCGGCAGGGTCTTTGTTGGCAAGTCATCTCTGATTGATCGGTGTGCTGCCACGGAGACTGCAAAGAGGAAGTAAAGGCACCGCAAGTCTCCAAGTAATTCAAAAAGGCATTGGAATAAACCATATTTCTTTACTTTGTAAAATGGGTTTCTAGATTTAAATGAATGGCTTTTCTTGCTCGTGTAAATGAGTCACATTTATGAGTTCAAATGATCATCTTCAATTGATTGTTAGCATACCTGTTAACACAGTCGAGATTATTGGGTAAGTTCTGTCCAGCTGTATTTAACTGTAGATGTGTCGCACCAATTCACAAATGAACACAACAGTGCCGTAGTTGGACCTAAGAAATGGCTGCTCTGCCTCAATTTACCCCAGAAAATCAAAGCGTCACAAACATTTGAACAACGAGGTATGCAAGTTCTCTCTCTCTCTCTCTCTCTCTCTGCCACTACACAGCATTTCTGGAACAAGCAGGAAGCTGTCGTCAGTCCCAAAAGACGGTGTATCCGACCATCATGCAACTGTACATTGCCACAGGTAAATTTCAGAGCTGGGGCAATGTCAGTTACATTGGCTACACATCCCAGGGACCAGGCGAGCGAATCAAACTGCACACTGCTTTACGTTGTCTAAAACAGGCAAGACTCCGGACTGCACTCAGTCAGTCTGCTCCCACCAACAAAGTGTCCGTGTGGATTCAGGCCAGGATGGGGGATTGGTGGAACCATGTTGTAGATCTGCTAACTGGCTACGCAATGAATAAATAGATCATTTCCACTGCCTCAGAAAACCTCAGGGTGTTGAATAGCAAAAGCACTTCTATTCTGAAGTGCAGCCACAGCAAGATCCCACACATAGCTATGTGTTAATGACCACTCGACATTAAAGACAGAAAGGGGTATGGAGAGAACACAGGTGTTAGGTGCTGGGATAGAGGATCAGCTACCAACATACTGAACACAGAGCAAGCCTGAAGAGCCAAAAGCCCGACACCTGTTCCTGTTTTCTATCTTTCCACAACCTGGTGTTTCCTAAACTTGTTTTGAAAAGCAATGCTGGCTTTGGGATAATATAAAGCTTTCTGTGTAAATATTTTTTTCTCTCTCTCTCTCCTCACACAGCATCATTTTCCCACACATGGCAAGGGCCAGCTAGGAGCCACTGCGGATTTGTATTCTGTATGTAGAGGATGGGCAGGAGAGGTTGCTGCAAATGGATTGACATTAATGAGTTCGGGTCTCAGTCACTTCATACTGCTGGAGAGCACTGTAGATTATTAAGCACTAAACAAACACAACTAAATATCATCCAGATGAATACTTACACATACCATCCAGTCATTCATCACCAGAGATATATAATTATGCCTGACTATGATTTCACTAAGGGCCACAAACAAACAATGAGCATGTATGTGATAGAGTGTGCAAGGCATTGGAAAAGGCATTGGAATAAACCATATTTCTTTACTTTGCAAAATGGGTTTCTAGATTTAAATGAATGGCTTTTCTTGCTCGTGTAAATGAGTCACATTTATGAGTTCAAATGATCATCTTCAATTGATTGTTAGCATACCTGTTAACACAGTCGAGATTATTGGGTAAGTTCTGTCCAGCTGTATTTAACTGTAGATGTGTCGCACCAATTCACAAATGAACACAACTGTGCCATAGTTGGACCTAAGAAGTGGCTGCTCTGCCTCAATTTACCCCAGAAAATCAAAGCGTCACAAACATTTGAACAACGAGGTATGCAAGTTCTCTCTCTCTCTCTCTCTCTCTCTCTGCCACTACACAGCATTTCTGGAACAAGCAGGAAGCTGTCGTCAGTCCCAAAAGTCGGTGTATCCGACCATCATGCAACTGTACATTGCCACAGGTGAATTTCAGAGCTGGGGCAATGTCAGTTACATTGGCTACACATCCCAGGGACCAGGCGAGCAATCAAACTGCACACTGGGAATGAATGCATGTGTCTGTGAGCATGTGAGAGTCCATGTATTTGTCTTTGCAAGAGCACATGTATCTGATTGCATGTGTGAATGCGCATGTATGTGAGCAAACGTGCCTGTATGACTGAGTGAGCACGTGTGTCCTTGTGTTAGTGTGAGTGTATGTCTGTGTGAGCACGTCTATCTGTATACATGCGATTACGTGTCTGCGTGAGAGCAACTCAGTGCATCTGTCGGTGTGTGAGCACATCTGTGTACATGCCTCTGTGAGAATGCACGTGTCTGCATGTGCTTCAGTACGTGCCTGTGCGTGTACATGTGAGTGTGTATGAGAGAGAGCATGTGTGCATGAGTGATCACCTTTGCTTATGTGAGAGCATGTGTGTCTATATGCATGTATGTGAGCATGTGTTGCGTGTGTGGGAGCATGTGTCTATGTGCGTGAGCATGTGTGTGTGTGGGTACATGTCTCTCCTCATTCACACAGATGCACCAGCCAGGCACTCAGGACTGTAACTCTCCCTTGCTCAAAGCTTTCAGGGTGACTGGAATGTCCCCATAGCATCTAAGCCTAATTCCAGCTCACAATCAGTCCATTCAGCCCATCTGCTCTCCATCAGCCTCCCTACTCTTCACCTTATCCCATTGTGCAATCCTCACATGTACACACACAGGCACGTACTCAAGCACACGCAGACACGTGCATTCTTCACCTTACACCATTGTGCAATCCTTCTATTCTCTTTTCCCTCGTGTTTCAGCTTCCTCCAAAATGCATTGACACTATTCATCTCGCCAACTCCCAGCGGGATCAAGTTCCACATTCTCCCTGCTCTCCAGGTACAAACCATTTCTCCCAAATTCCCGATTGAATTTCATAGTGACAGCGGTCTCATATCGTGACACCACCACGCCGCCCCAGCTCTGGTCTTCGCCATGGCCTATCCTTTTGTAAACTAACACAGAGTCCCAGTCTGGCACTTGCCCCAGTGAACTGCTGACGCTGTGATACTCAATGCGCCTCAGGAGATCAAAAAAAAACCTGGATTGCATCCTGTCACAATTCCCAACCACTGCCAACTCATTTCCTGAGAGGCTCAGATAATAACTTGGCTCCGGGACACAGAGCAAAGGCAGATACGTACATTGGGATACGCTGCAACACAGCGTGTGAGTGGCCACATGCAGGACCCTGGAATATCACAGAGTCTGAACTGAGGCACCCCCTCGTTGACCAGCCACCTCCGCTGGAACCATGTACTTGACTCAGGGAATGATGTTTGTTGAAGAACCGAGCCCTAGCCCCTAGGCTCACGGTGTGTTGGGTGGAGCTGTCACCTCCTCTGGAGAGAATGCCAACATCTTACTCAAACACTGCCCAGGACAGTGAGTATTATTTTCCACGATGGCTGCCATCAAAGCAAACCCTGTTTGTTACAGTGAAACCTCTGAATTTCTATAGCGCCTGTTGCGCCTCTCACAGGGTGCTGCAACTAATCAGCCACTAGCTGGTGATCATGTAACAGAGGTAACACCAGTTTGGGTACATTGAGCTTCTCTCAAACAGCCAAAGTGATAATGATACCCAGCACTGACCCTCCAACAGAGTGCGGCACTCCCTCAGCGCTGACTCTCCAACAGTGCGGTGCTCCCTCAACACTGACTCTCTGACAGTACAGCACTCTCTTAGTGCTGTCACTCTGACAGTGTGACGCTCCGTCAGCACTGACCCTCCAACAGTTTGGTGCTTCCTCAGTACTAGCAGCATGGGATTAGATCTAGAGTAAAGTTCCCTCTACAATGTTCATATGAAGCCGTCCTGGGACAGGTACACCAGGGGGTTAGATACAGAGTAAACTGCCTCTACCCTTTTAAACAGCAAGTACATGTCTCTCAACAGAATCTCCATCATACACAACCACAATAGGGACAGCACTGTGTAAAATACAGAGTAAAGCACCCTCTACACTCTCCCCCATCAAACACTCCCAGGATAGGGACAGCACAGGGTTAAGATACAGAATATTACTTCCTCTACGCTCACAAATCAGATCTATTTTGCTCTGGCAAGCATTTCTATTTGAAGAGGACAGCAGATAGAGTGGATCCTCTGAGTGTGCAGTCAATGTCACAGTGAACAGCGATGTACAGCCATTTACTCATGCATTGCTTCTCCTGTTTTCCTCTTCCTTTTCTCCAGGATTTGTCAATAGCAACATGTGTGTGGAGCACCTTCCTGCTCCAAGGTTTACACACCGTAACAGCTGGATACATGTTTACGGTAAAAAATTTGCACAGACTGCACCTACCTGAAACCAACATAGTGGATGAATACTCCGGCCAACATAATGAAGACACAGTAGCCAAAAACCTTCATGTTTCTTTTCCGCTTCTTGTCGTTGTGAAACTCTTTATAGTCTTCTGGTGTGGCATACCGGAACTGCTCCCAGTACTTTTGCTGCTCAGACATGTTGTACCTTTTGAGAAGCGGAAGAGAAGACAAGGGTGAGGACAGACCAACTGAGAAAAGCAAAGGTGAACTCAACAATGGTTGTCCGTGGAATAAGCCAAAACTGAAATCAAATGCCTTATTCAGAAGGAGGCATTTGCTTGCTGAGTGTTCAGCTACATTCCATTTGCTTCCCTATAATTACAGATCACCTGAATAAGTCGAACTTGTATGTTTTAGCCTGAACAGAGACCCAGAGTGTGATTTTTTTTCTTGGAAAGAACAAGAATATACAGCAGCTGGGCTGTGTCAGTCCAGCAAAATGAATCCTAAATAAGTTACTCACTTCCACGTAAGCGAAAGGTCACAAGGCAAACATTTGCTTTGTTGAAACAAAAGGCAGAAAGAGTGATTCAGCCCCAAATCTGAACATGACTTAAAGTCTACACTCCTGTCATTTAGTAACCTCCTGCTTCACTGATTAAAACACACCGTGTCCCTAAAACTCTCACGCATGAGCACTAGGGTTCCATCAGATCTGTGCAGAGGCTGCTTAGACACAGCTTCCCTGGATTCAACTCATTCTGTAGTATAGCAGCCCCTATCGTTCAGTGCTCACAGGAACGACTCCAGCCTACGAACACCTCCAATGTTAGACAATGAAATGGGATATACAACACAGAATCAGGCCATTCAGCCCACCAATCAGAGCTGCTATTTCTCCTCCACTCCAGCTTCATTCTATCTTTCCTCCACTGAATCTATCATCGTAAACCTCTCATCATTTCTTCCCCCTATGGTTATCCAGCTTCCCCTTTAAATGCATCTATCCTACTCACCTCGACCACTCCCTGTGGGAGTGAGTCACAAATTCTTCCTACTCTCTGGGTCAAGGCGGTTCTCCTGAATTCCTAATTGGATTTCCCAACGCCGGCTGCATACTGACAACTTCTACCGATGCTTCTCCCCACAAGAAGAAACATTCTTTCTGTCTCCACTCGATCAAAACCTTCCAGAATTTCACAGACGTTGAGTGAATCACTGCTCAGCCTTCTCTTTACAAGACCCAGCTCCGCAGTCCCCACATTCCTATGTTAGTTCTCCTCTTCAATCTTCTCTGCACCCTCTCCTGTGCCTTGATACACCCTGTTTATAATGTGGGAGACCTGCAGGCAGTATCTAGGTCTAGTCTAACCGAAGTTTTATTCAGGTTCAGGGTGACTTCCCCACAAAAAGGTGTAGAAAAGTATGAGGGGTGCAAGTAGGGGAGGTAGGAAGAAATCTTTCCCCTTAGTACAGGGACCCATAATCTGTGGACATTGATTGGAGGTGAGGGACAGGAGGTTTGGGATATTTATAGGAGATTGGATCTTTTTCCACCCAGAGGAATCTGGAACTCATTGCCTGAAAGGGTGTTGTAGGCAGGCAACATAATATTTTAATGATGACTTGGAGTAGCATAGCATATAAAGCAATGAGCCAAGTGCTGGATAATAGAACTAGAGGTAATAGGAGCTTGAAGACCAATGTGTACATGATGGGCGAAAGGGTCTCTTACCATTCTAGGACTCTATGACCTGACAGTTCTATCGCTCTCACTGTAAATTCTGGTGTTTGGTTTGCTGTTTTTTTAATGGTGTGGCTGTGAGGAAAGGCCACTCAGTAGGCCACTGAGGAACTTACATGGGGGCGCAAGCAGTGGGATTGGCAGAGTTTCCATCACATGAGAAGGGTACTCCATCATTCAATGACACCGCGACTGATCTGATCATCCCCAACTCCACTTTCCAACCTTTTCCTCCTAACCCTTAATTCCCTTCCCGATTAAAAATCTCAGTCGTCAATATACTTAACGACCTAGCCTCGACAGCCTGCTGCAGTAAAGAATTCCACAGATTCACTGCCCTCATCTCCATCTTCAATAGTCAATTCTCTTACTTTCAGATGATGCCCTCTGGTCCTAGACGCTGTCACAAGAGGAAACAACTTCTCTGCATCTCCCCGGTCAAGTCCTCTAAGAATCTTGCATGTTTCACTAAGGTCTCAAATAAGTTCAGGTTCACAGGCTCAATCAGTACAAGCCCAACCTACTCAACTTTTCCTCATAAGACAGTCCTTCAATACCCCAGGTTTGAGGAATGCAGAGTGAGTGAAAACAGGTGATTGGGATCGGTTTACGTAAAAGGGACAGGATTGTTGGACTGAACGGCTTGTCAGTGGCCTCCCGGGCCTTGCTCAGCCACCTTGAGAAGTGAGGAAGGGTGAACTGGACTGGGTCATGACACCTTGACCCTCTGGCGGACACGTCAAGGCTCCATCATAGAGGTTGGGGTGGGTGGGGGGGTGGGTACCACACCGATGAACAATGCAGTAAAAGGGATTGAAAACACAGCCAGGCAACAACCCCACCCCAGGGGAACCAGCGGGGGCTGTCGACACAGCGAGCTGCAAACGAGAAGGGAGTCTTCTCCCGAACGCACTGCTCCAGTGAAACAATTCACAATCCCGGCTGCCACGGATGAGACGCTGCCTTTCTCTCCATGTTGCTGTGGGGCTCAGACATGCTCAGCAGTGGATAGAAGCTGTCAGTTCGGCGCAATGATGAGATGCAGGCGAACTGACAGGCCGGGAATTGTAAATATGAAGGGGAAGGAAAGGGATGAAAAGACGGTGGTTATTTTTTTTTTCCTCTCTGTTCATAAGGCTGACTGGGGATTATAATGCAAGCTTCTCGCTTCACTGGCATAGACAGGGGGCCTGCAAGCCCAGGCCGCGTCTTTCACTCGCTGCGCGTTCCGATCGTTTTGCACACAAGGTGTGGATGAAGTGGCATGTCAAGCGTGGATCCGAATTCCTCTGACAGTGGCAGGGGCCCCCAGAGAAAAGGCTTGCTCTTGCTGCCATCTCTCCCTTTTATGCAGCACTCAGCCCTTTCCAAACCAAGCAGCGAAACAAAAACATTTTCACATCAGCGATGTTAGAACTGAAGAACTAGGAGCAGCTGCAGGCCATTCAGCCCCTTTGAGCCTGCTCTGCCATTTGATATGAAAGTTGCTGGTATCATCTCGGCCCTCAAGTCCACTTTCCTGCCCTTCGCCATAACCTTTTACTGATTAAAAATCTCGCTCTTCCTCAATGTCCCGGGGACAGTGAATTCTACAGATTCCTGATCCTTTGAGAGAAGTAGTTCCTCCTCATCTCTGTTTTAAATCTGCTACCTCCTACTTGTTCGAGTTTAAAAGGTTTAAAATTGGTTAGAGTTAAAGGTTAGGTCTAGGTTAAACTTTCTACTTTAACTCTGCTAGCCCTACTCATTCTAGATGGCCCAACATGAAGAAACATCCACTCTACATCCACTTTGTCAATCCCGTTTAGCATCTTGTATATCTCCGTTAGATCTGCTCTCATTCTTCTAAACTCAAGCAAGTAAAGGCCTAAACTGCTTGATCTCTCTCTCTCCACAAGACAAAACCCTTATCTCTAGAATTAGCGTTACTGCTTTAAAGACACACCATTAATGTAAGCCTGCCTCCTCAGTGCACTCCTCTACTGTATAAATGTTCAAACGAAGAGCACAGTAAGCCACTCTGCCCCTCAAGCTTGCTGTACCATTCAGTAAGACCCATGACTGATCTGATTACTCCACTCTCCTACCAACCCTGACAACATTTTATCCCCTTGCTTTACAAGAATCTATCTGCTTCCGTCTTAAAAATGTTTAGATTTTCCTTCCATTGCCTTTGAGGAAGGATATTCATGATCCTTGGACAGAATGTTTTCCCCTCCTCTCTGTTTTAAATGGGAGACCCCGATTTTTAAACAGTGACCCCTAGTTCTAGACTTTCCTATAAAAAGAAACACCTTCTCCATGTTCAACCAGTCAAGACCTCTTGGGATCTTCTATATTTCAATTAGTCACCTCTTAACCTACTAAACTAATGCAGATACAAGCCTAGCCAGTCCAACCATACCTTGTGAGACAACTTGTCCATTACAGTCTAGTAAAACCTTTCTGATGCATTTACATTCTTCTTTAAATACAGAGACCAATACTATTCACACTACTCCAGCTGTGCTCTCACCAATGGCCTGTATAACTGAAGCATAACCTCCCTAGTTTGATATTCTATTCCCCTCACAGTAAATGTTAACATTTATAGAGTCATACAGCACGGAAACACATCCTTCAGTCCAACTCGTCCACGCCAACCACATTCCCAAACTAAACTAGTCCCACTTGCCTGCGCTTGGCCCATATCCCTCCAAACCTTTCCTATTCATGTAATTATCCAAATGTCTTTTAAATGTTGTAACTGTACCCCCATCCACCACTTCCTCTGGAACTTTATTCTACACACGAACCACTCTCTGCGTAAAAAAAAGTTGCCCCTTGTGTTCTTTTTTAAAGCTTTCTCCACTCATCTTAAAAATATGCCTCCAATGTCAAACCCCTCCACCTTAGGGAAAAGACCTTTGGCCATTCTTCTTTTCTATGCCCCTCATGATTTGAGAAACCTCCATAAGGTCACCCCTCAAACTCCTACGCTCCAGTGAAAAAAGTCTCAGCCTATTTTTAGAACTCAAACCCTCCATTCCCAGAAACATCCTGGTAAATCTTTTCTGAATATCCTCCAGTTTAATATCATCATAGAATCCCTATTGTGTGGAAGCAGGCCATTCAACCCATCGGATCCATACTGACCCTCCAAAGAGCATCCCACCCAGATCCATCCGCTACTCTATCCCTGCATTTCCCATGGCTAATCCTAGCCTGCACATCCCTGGACACTGTGGGCAATTTAGTATAACCAATCCACCCTAACCTTCATACCTTTGGACTGTGGGAGGAAACCGGAGCACCTGGAGGAAACCCACGCAGACATGGGGAGAATGTGCAAACTCCACACAGACAACGCCTGAGGGTGGATTTGAACCTGGGTTCCTAGCGCTGTGAGGCAGCAGTGCTAATGACTGAGCAACAGTGTTGCCCATCTATCCTTCCTATAACTGGTGACCAGAACTGGACAC